AATATACTTTTTTATGTTAAAAACATAGTACTGAGCTTAAGATATTTAAACTTAAGCTATATATATATAATAACAAAACTCCGTCGAGTTTTTTTTTTTTTTTTTTTTTTTTTGGCTAATACCTTTATAATGTAAACATACTGCTTAAGATATGATGAAACTTAAGCTAATTGTATAATAGCGAAAACAACCCTTTAGAGTTTGTTAGCTAAAATACTTATATGATATAAACCTAGTATTGAGCTTATGAAGGAAACTTAAGCTACATATATAATAGCAAGAACTCCGTAGAGTTTGTTAGCTAATACATGTTATAATGTAACCATAAAGCTTAAAATATGATGAAACTTTAGCGAAATATATAATAGCAAAAACCTCTTTTAGAGTTTTGATAGCTAATATACCTATATGATATAAACATAGTACTGGGCTTAAGATATGAATAAGCTTAAGTTACATATATAATAGCTAAAACTCTGTAGAGTTTGTTAGCTAATACATGTTATAATATAACCATATTGCTTAGAAATATGATGACACTTAAGCCAAATAGCAAAAACTCTTTAGAGTTTGTTAGCTAATCTACTTATATGATATAAACATAGTACTAAGCTTAAGATATGAATAAGCTTAAGCTACCTATATAATAGCAAAACTCCTTAGAGTTTGTTAGCTAATATATTTTAATAATATGAGTATAGTACTATGCTTAAGGTATAATTAGCTTAAATTACCTATATAATAGTAAAACTCCGTAGAGTTTGTTAGCTTAATTAACTTAAGCTACGTGATAAAATAGCCAAAACTCTGTAGAGTTTGTTAGCTAATGCAATTATCATGTTACCATAGTATTACTCTTAAGATATGAATAACTTAAGGTAAATATATATAATAACAAACTCTGTAGAGTTGTTAACTTATATATTGTATGATGTAATAATCATAGTACTGTGATGATAAAAGGAACTTAAGTAAATTATATATAGCATGAAGCTATTTAGTATTGTTATAAGATAAGTAAAAATCTGTTAGATTGACTTATCTTCTCCTCGAGGAACTGTCAGCTGTTGTCTGCGAGGACCATGGGATCGAATTGGTGTATACCTGAGACGCCCTCGGTGGTGATATCTCTCAGATAATGGTTTGCAACCACCATATCGGATTTCCAGAAATAAACCCTCCATTATTTCAATCACATTTGTGTAGAACAATTGTAGAAGTTAGCTCTAATATCATGAGTATTAAGCTCATGGAGGGTCGGAATAGGTCCATCCGCATATGCACGTTAGTATGACAGTTCTGATCCAAACGGAGATATAGTACATGAGACTTCACTCTCATGCGAAGTTGATGATAGAGGAAATAATCTGTTGCATTTTTCTTTTCCTCCTGTTTGGTTCGGTGGAGATAAATTTACAGTGCTCTTGCTGGCCATCGTGATAGAATCATCGTGATCATGGGGTCCAAGCATGTCATCCAGGCGTATTCATAAACCTCACTTGTGAGGTGTTGGAGCACTATATTCATATCCCCAGGTTGGCGTGAAACTTCCGTTTTATTCTCCAAACAGAAGCTTTAGTAGGTTTACTAACCATCTAGTTGTGTTAGTCGCTGATGAAATTCAGCTGTAGTCTGAAACGCTGTGGATTTAGATCCACTTGTATCTTTCGTCTAGGTAATTAGCCATAAGTCCTTGACGATGTAGGTGCACAACCAGGTGTGTCTGTCCTCGTTGAACTTTATGTAAAATCGCCTTCGACTGCCGATCCCTCGCCTTAACTTGACAGGGGAGGTCTCTAACTTGAAAGAAGGCAGTCTAATCATGAATGTTCAGGTTAACTGGACTGTAATGAGGCTTGCTCGCTCACTGATATATAGTTGTCACTTGTGACGTAAGTCTTGAACTGTGAATTGAGATCGACCTCTGCGTAGGTCGTTGTCCCTCGCGGGTCCAATCAGAACAAGGCATTTTGATTCTGTATAATACCCGCTGTGATGTCACCGTGTAGCGGAAAAACCCCCTTGAATAAATTCTTGTCGCCGTTGATATTAGCATAAACGCCGGTCTTCACCGTGAGCTTCCCCGGTTATCCGAGTGACCACGCGTTTCGAGGGTTAATGGTAACCGCTGGCGAAACCTCCGGCCGAAATATCTCGCTCTGTAATTTTATGCTGGGTAGGTTATTTTCCTGGTTGTCGGAAAGTAATTTCAGTTTTGAATATAATTCCGACTTCCTTCTAAATAAGGGTACAAACAACTTGCAAGTTGTGAGCTTGTAGACTGTATACATGAATGTATCGTCATAATTGTAGAATTAACATTGAACTTGTTGTCCATATTTCTTCTCAGAAACTTTGACGATTAAGAGTTATACTGCTGTAACAAGGCTGCTGTTCAATTTCGATATTGAATTGTCTGCAGCTATGCGTAATGGTCACGCATGTAGATAATCGTGTATCGTCGTCGGGGATTGCATATTAGCAATTTATAATGAATAGTTGATTTCTGTGAAGATCTATGAAATGTCGTTGACTAAATAATACAGCGACGCTCTGTGTTGTAAATAGCCTGAACAATTATCTTCAAGCATAGGCTTATAGGCGGCATCTGGCATACAGTTGATAATCAACTTATGCGGCGCCTTGAACGGACTGACGAAAGTAGCCTATATATGACGAAAGTGGCTAGTATATAGAAACCTTGGAGGAGACTTCCTCGGTGAACGCCCGGAGACTTCTCGCTAAGTTCTCGAAGTATCCCTTCTAGATCTTCTGGGTGAAGTAGACTTGGAGCCACTTAGCCTTCAGCGACCATCGCTAAGGTATCGAGTCAAAGCCCGATTAGTATATATATATATATATATATAAATATATATATGAGCTTGCTTCGCGAACAGCCTCTGTGTTTAACAGGATGTGGATCGGTGAAGCTTGCCTAAGTAGGGTCAAAGATGGATCATCTTATCATTTTCAGAAGTCGTGGTTACTTAAGTCTGGTGATAAGTGTCTAATTGATCGCTCTAGATCTATTTAGGCCAGCGAACATACCGTCTCGCCATGGATTCAACAGAACCAATATACGATTGTAGTTCTTATACTTGATATCGATGATCAACTTGTCTATGGGTTGATCTTCTCGAGACTTGTGAGGGGAACGCTGATAGTTTCGCCAAGCTCTTGTATAGTCCCTCGATGTCCTTCTAGATGATGATGATCTGATTCAGGTGTCCTTCGCGCGATGCCTTCGCTGGCTTCCTCTGCGTCCGGTCCGGGGAGCGACGATATGACCTTCGGCGAAAGGTTTCGTGATGTCTGATGGTCCGAGTCCACATCTAGGAAGAAACCGCATATGGTGATGATCTATCCTGCCTTCTAAGTCCTTCGCCAAGGCTGTACATCTAGGTCCTTCCGCCTTCGCCGAAGGCTGTACATCTAGGTCCTTTCCGCCTTCGCTGGCCTTCGGGCTGTACATCTAGGTCCTTCGTCAAGGTGGTCCGTGACTTCCTTCGCCGGCTGGTGACATCGTCCCTGGCTGCTACGCTGACGGGGTGCCTCTGGGTGCTGTTCACGCTTGGAGCCTTCGCCAGCTCGGTCCCTGCTTATGCAGTCTGTAGTGGTCCTCCATCATGGTCATAATTTGTCGCATCAGGTCCTCAGGGATGGTCTGCGGCGAGGTCGCCGGTGCCTTATCTGCGGTGTTAATGGAGGGGTCCACAGGAAAATCGGTCCGACATCAGTGTAGAGGCATCAGGCTGCATGGTGATCTCTGCTGATGTCATTGTAGCTGTCACCGGTCGCTTTCTTGTATGGCGTCGCCGGGGATGATGATCAGCTGATCATCGTGAGGTCCAGGTCATCGGCTGGAACAATCTCGCTGAGAAAGTCCTAGTAGACTTCGCTGATTTTCCCTCAGAGGTCGACGCCCCCTGGGTGTCGCGGCGCCTGCGCTGAGTGTTGGTAATGATGGGACCCTCAGGACCCATCATCGAATATCAGCGTTGGTACCTCAGGCTGCATGCTGATCTGTGCCGATTATCGGTCAATCTTTTGATGTACATCAGGTATGATGATCGGCTGATCATCATACAGGCCCAAAACTGCGATGGGAACGATCTCGGCTGTTGAGATGTAGTAGAAAACCCTCTAGTCTTCTGCTGCGACGATGGGATGTCTGGGGAAGCAGGATGCTTCTTGGAGATGGCGGACTACGCCCCACACCTCTCCACCACTCTAGCGAAACACCACACGGAGAGAGTCGGCCAACAGCAGTAGACTGGCGAGGGGTTCCGGTGTATCAGTCATACTAGACTCTGCATACGCGACCTATCTGCTGTGCGTGCCAAACGCAAAGTAAATATTAATAAAAAGGTAGAATTGGATAAATTAGTACCGCAACTGCAATGTGAATATAATGAACATGGCCGTACATCATATTATAAAAGGTGGATCAGCAGCAGCATACAAAACGTAATCTGTAATAGTACAGAATTTTCATCAACGTAATCCACTGAAACAAACACGGCGCCCCGTGAATAAACTGTAGAAAAAAAAAAAAAAAAAACGACTAAATATCAATATATAATCGCTTGAAGGATACTAGCTAAACCTCTATAGATGTCTATAATGAGGTAACTAACTAAATATAATTCAAAGGATATAGTGTGTCGGGAGACACAGGCGCTCTCACGTCCAGCTCACTGGGCGAAGAAGGAGAGAGTGAGGCACATGGGTAGAGGTGGCGCCCTCGTTCCCGCGCTTGTGGAAGGGAGGTAACTCGTGGTAAATACTAATTAGTGATTTTAAATTGAAGGGAGCTTCAATTAGGGAGATACAAGTGTTCCACTATGTTCGCAAGAAGAAGAAGACAAGCAAAAAGAGCATGAGTCAGGATAAGGAAAAATCAAGATTTTATTAGGTCAAAAACCAAAATAATACATGTCACTGACAATATATTGATATATATATATATTGACCCTATACTGGTGATGTTCTCACTGTACCTGATATGAGGATGAGCCAGTGGATGTCTTCATGCAGACAGTTGAGTACAGACATGTCAAGAGAAGCGTTGTGGTTGCCAGAGTTCAGCCTCTGTTGCTGTAACCGTTGTAACTGGCCATGTAACCGACCTATACGGTCTTCCAACACCCTGTAAAAGAACAACAGCTCACTATATCCGCTGACAACCATTGTACCTAATCCAAACAATAATCAAACCATATACACAGAACGGTAAGGGATTATTTCTGAATATATTAATACTATACTACACAACATAATACTACACAATTTCATGAAAACATCTTTTATATATTCAAAATCCCTAACATTTTTGTGCAACAAAACCTAAACTAAATCTTAATTCATTTTATGTCTCTGGTAAGCAATTCAACAAAACCACATGGTACTGAAAAATACTTCAAACAGCAAGAATGCTGGAATACAGACAAACCTAATTCCTGTTCAGTTCACGACACTCACTTTGCAAGCAGGGGGATGGTGTGTTCAGGTACAACCCGGGCTAAGGCTCCAATACAACAGAGTTGGTCTGAGAACTTGTCACGGTCATCCTCCTCTGTATCATCGATTTCCTCATCATGAGCTGAGGCTCCTCCATTCTGAAAGTAATGCGATAGGGTGAAAGCACTGTATAATTTCCTTACACCACAAATATTATGGTAAACTTACCACTGACAAGTGTCAGACTTGAGCCATTTGGATCGAAAATTGATGGTCTGGAACCAATCAACGGACATGGAAATTTTGTCGCAGCTTCATAGTACAGTGAAACCTGTCTAAACCGGCACCCAACGGGACTGAACTAAAATGCCGGTTTAGACAGGGTGCCGGATTAGACACTGACGATAATTTTCCAACATGGCTGCCATTTACACTCGTCAAACTCTCAATCTAGCGTCCCGAGAGGAGTGTATTGGATTAAGGGACCCTGATTGGACTGCTCATACCCATGCCGGCTTAGAGCGTTTGATTCATCGCGCAATCACTACTTCCTGATTATCTTGCGTGCCAAGAGGATCAATTAGTGTATTGGATTATGGGTCCTTCATTGGATTGCTCATACCCATGCCATGCCATGTTTAGACAGTGTTAATTACACTTAAAATCGCTTGTTGGGACCGGAAAGTCGTGCCGGAATAGGGAATAGACAGGTGCCAGATTAGACAATGTTTTAATGATCATAATATCGTTGTAAAATGGGACCAAAATTTTATGCCGGTTTGGACAGTGTGCCGGATTAGACAGGTGCCGGTGTTGGCAGGTTTTATTGTACATAGTTAGTCACAATCTTATATGTCTGTTATACTGACCATCAGCTGTGTGCGGATCCCCTCAGGGGAACTGATGTGACACTGGACATAGGAGTTGAAGATTTCTGTGGCATGTGGCTTGAGTGCACCATCTGGGAAGGACTTGATGTTGGTGGCGAACTGCATCCAGGTGTCCAGCATCTTCTCATATGCCTCCATGTGGATTGTGTCATCCCGGTTCATCTGGAACAGCCAGTGAAACAAGAAGGTGAATTAGGACTGGTTGAACATTCAGCTCAAGACAAGTACGAGGAATTAAACCTCATGAAGACTTTTGACACCGATAGTGAAAAAGACCCAAAGATCTAGTTTCCACAAATGACATCTTAGGTCTAAAGAGTGAGTGAGTGAGTGAGTGAGTGAGTGAGTGAGTGAGTGAGTGAGTGAGTGAGTGAGTGAGTGAGTGAGTGAGTGAGTGAGTGAGTGAGTGAGTGAGTGAGTGAGTGAGTGAGTGAGTGAGTGAGTGAGTGAGTGAGTGAGGAGTGAGGTGAGTGAGTGAGTGAGTGAGTGAGTGGAGTGAGTGAGTGAGTGAGTGAGTGAGTGAGTGAGTGAGTGAGTGAGTGAGGAGTGAGTGAGTGAGTGAGTGAGGAGTGAGTGAGTGAGTGAGTGAGTGAGTGAGTGAGACTTTTAGCTATATTCCAGCAATATTACAGCGGGGGACACCAGAAATGGGCTTCACACATTGTACCCATCAGGTGTTCGGTGTGATGAGCGAACACTTTAACCACTAGGCTAGCCCACTGCCCAAAGAAACAAACACAAGCATGACATACCGCCTCCTCCTTGGCTGCCTCCTTCCCCATTGAACACGTCAGTCTGGTCATGTGATCGACGAAAGCCCGGAAGTGCAGCATCGGCAGTTCCATGAAGCACGACAGTGGGAACATCATGGCCAGATTCTTGAAGCAGTTGGAAATCCCAAGATGCTCGAAATCTTGAAGACCCAGTCTGCACATACAAACAGTAGATGATAGAATGAACATCCGATACACAGAATGAAAATCATGGGAAATTGTCCAACCTAGAATAATTTGACTTATCCTAAATCGATACATCAATATATCATGAAGCCTCAGACTTGTTGATTTTGTAGATGGGAATACAGCAAAGTGGGTCAAATCCCGAAGAAGTAGAACTATTTCTCAAGTCCTCAAATGTAGAGGCAACAAGGTTCAACTGTTTGTCAACAATGTTTCCGAGATCCTGTCAGCATGGTGATCCCTATAAATCTGTTTCTGACCTACCCTGTGAGGAGCTGAAGGAAGCCATCGATGTAGTGTGCCAGGTACTGAATCTTGGCCTTGTCATCGGAGAAGATTTGTCCATTGAGCGATGCCAGCTGACCGAGACACTGGGAGGCATGGTGGGCCATTTCCGAATTGTGCCGAACCTTGTCATAGATCTGAAATATAAATACAAAAGGTTAATGAAGAGGAGAAAAAAGTAATGTGAAAGAAACGAGTCAAGTGTGAGAGGACCAATGCCATACAGGGCAATATCTCATTTGTACAATGGGATGCCTGCCAAATGTTGGAGCACAATAGCATGCCTGCCAAATGTTGGAGCACAATAACATTCCTGCCAAATGTTGGAGCACAATAACATGCCTGCCAAATGTTGGAGCACTATAGCATGCCTGCCAAATGTTGGAGCACAATAACATGCCTGCCAAATGTTGGAGCACAATAACATGCCTGCCAAATGTTGGAGCACTATAGCATGCCTGCCAAATGTTGGAGCACAATAACATGCCTGCCAAATGTTGGAGCACAATAGCATGCCTGCCAAATGTTGGAGCACTATAGCATGCCCGCCAAATGTTGGAGCACAATAACATTCCTGCCAAATGTTGGAGCACAATAACATGCCTGCCAAATGTTGGAGCACTATAGCATGCCTGCCAAATGTTGGAGCACAATAACATGTCTGCCAAATGTTGGAGCACTATAGCATGCCTGCCAAATGTTGGAGCACTATAGCATGCATGCCAAATGTTGGAGCACAATAACATGCCTGCCAAATGTTGGAGCACTATAGCATGCCTGCCAAATGTTGGAGCACTATAGCATGCCTGCCAAATGTTGGAGCACAATAACATGCCTGCCAAATGTTGGAGCACTATAGCATGCATGCCAAATGTTGGAGCACAATAACATGCCTGCCAAATGTTGGAGCACAATAACATGCCTGCCAAATGTTGGAGCACAATAGCATGCCTGCCAAATGTTGGAGCACAATAACATGCCTGCCAAATGTTGGAGCACTATAGCATGCCTGCCAAATGTTGGAGCACAATAACATGCCTGCCAAATGTTGGAGCACAATAGCATGCCTGCCAAATGTTGGAGCACAATAACATGCCTGCCAAATGTTGGAGCACTATAGCATGCCTGCCAAATGTTGGAGCACAATAACATGCCTGCCAAATGTTGGAGCACAATAGCAATGCTCATCATAGATGGCAGCAAATAGAGATCCATGATCAAGTTCATCAGAGATTGGAACTGATGATCACTGGAGCCTGACACTTAAAGGGAGGCGACTCAGCACAGAAAACTGCACTGACTTAGAGTATTGGGCAACATGAGTTCCTGAGTCTTGTGTATATAACTATGTAAGTAAGTAAAAGCAATTCAACAGTATCATGTTTGTTTGTTGATCAATGCTGCACTCAGCAATACTCCAGCTTTATGAAGCTGGTTTTAAAATAACCGAGTCTGGACCAGACAATTCAGTGAAGCCACTGGGTGAAAGACACCTTCAAACAATTGACCAAGTATGACTTTCCAATCCATTGTAGTCCTCGTATGACCACATGAGGTATGCAAATATAAGGAAGGGGTATTGTTTACCTTGAAGAAGAGCCCTAGGACTGTGGGGTCTAGTAGTGTGTCCCTCCATGACGTGTTCGGCTTGAGGGTGATGTTTTGGTTGATAGAAAAACACCCCACATGTTTTCTGATAACTGTTGACAGGTGAAGGAACTGAACATCCAAGGTCTGAGTGAATCACCGCATACTAACCTCAACTGGCAATATAATATCATGCATGTGTTCATCACAGTCAGAATTCCTCCAGCAATATGACACAGCATACTTGTCATTAAATGCAACAACTAGGATTGAGTGATCAGGCTCAGTGACTCGGCTAACAGTGAGGGAGGTTGTTCATTACATCAACCACTGGTTTCTGGGACAGACAAATCAAAACCAGTAGTGAGTTGGGTTTTACGCCGCTTTTTAGCAATATTCCAGCAATATCGTTGTGGGGTACACCAGAAATGGGCTTCACACATTGTACCCATGTGGGGAATCAAACTGGGTCTTCGGCGTGACGAGTGAACGCTTTAACCACTAGGCTACGCCACCGCCCCGTATATCCATAGAACTATCCCCCTTGCTCATCACACCAACTTCTAAATGCCACTCAAGGAAGTGAGACGCACAGATGTCTGATAGAAGACTTACGGTAATTTCATATTTGATTGAAACTAAACCTTTTGCATACAAATCATAATGTTAAGATAACTCTTAGGGGGAAAGTTCAGTCACTTCCTTATTAAATCAAATGATAACAACGTAAAATTTGACATTAAAATAAGTGTTTTCTTAAACTTTATTCATGACAACATTACTCTTAAGGGTCCTTGAATGCAATATGAGGGTCCTGTGAAGTAACGGTGTAGATAAGTGTACATTTTGATCATTTCTTTAGAGCCTGGAATGAATCATTGATCATGTGGACTGATGGATGAAATGATGCACGTCACTGTTCTGAAAGAAACAACCAAACACTTAGCAAAGACAAAGATGTGTCTTGGGTACAGTGAATAATATTGTGCATCCCTCTGGACGCAGTGATTTTTTTCTGCGTCCATTCTGTACATTTGTGCATACTGGACGCACATTTGCGTGTCACATAAAGCCCTTCACTCAGTCAACCAAGTCACTTGGCTTGACCATTCAATCCACATACGTAGTCACCTCTTATGATTGTTAGTTGCTAGGGAATGACATTACCTTAGAATAAGGTATGACAACAATTGTCATCATACACCTGTATACACATACAATTACCTGTTGTTTTCATATCTGATGTGTACTTCCAACACATCAGATACTCTATTTCTGCAGTCAAACTGTCTGTAGCTTTAAGTTTCAAGGCCTCCAGAAAGTTGAAACAAGTGTGGTGTTTTAAGAATGGTGTTTTTCAACATAGGAGTAACACAAGCCCTAAACAGGATAAAAGGAGGCTGAGGGACAATATTGGACAGCATTGTTTGCCAGTCAGCCACTAAGGAGGTGTTGTGAAGGATACATTTAGGTGTGAATTCCCAGCTGAGGACCTGCTCTGTGATTGAGAGAACGCGGTTAAGGACGGCAGTGGCTTCACGGGTCAGGGGGATCGGCTGTGCATTAAGCTCGTTCAACACTTGCATTGAAAACATAAACACCTTCTTCAGGTCCTTCTCCTGCAATAGAAGTAGAGACGGGCATAAGGGATGTAGAATACAGGGAGGAGGAATGTGGGTGAAGAAATGTACGGGGATGTGTTTGGGTGGTGACAGCTGGGTCAGGAAACACAGTGATAAGGAGGAAGTGGGTAATAAAAGAAGTGGATGAGGGGAAGGTATAGGTTGAGAGAAGTGGGATGAGGAGGTGAGGACTGAGAGGCATGGGATGAGAAGAAATGGGTGATGGCAGACATGGAATGAGGAGAAGGTGGGGGTTGAGGAGAAGGTGGGGGTTAAGGAGGTAGGCGGTGAGAAGGTGGGGTTGAGGAGAAGATTAGCAATAAGAAGGTGGGGTTGAGAAGGTGGGTGATGGGGAGGTGGGTGATGAGAAGGTGGGTGTTGAAGAGAGGATGGGTGATGAAAAAGGTGGGGGTTGAGGAGAGGATGGGTGATGAAAAAGGTGGGGGTTGAGGAGAGGATGGGTGATGAGAAGGTGGGGTTGAGGAGAAGATGGGTGATGAGAAGGTGGGGGCTGAGAAGATGGGTGATGATAAGGTGGGGGTTAAGGTGTAGGTGAGTGATGAGAAGGTAAGGTTTGAGGAGAAGGTGTGATGAGAAGGTGGGGGTTGAGGGGGTTGAGGAGAAGGTGGGTGATAAGAAGGTGGGGTTGATTAGAAGATGGGTGATGAGAAGGTAAGGTTTGAGGAGGTGTGATGAGAAGGTGGGGGTTGAGGGGGTTGAGGAAAAGGTGGGTGATGAGGAGAAGATGGGTGATAAAAATGTGGGTGGGGGTTGAGGGGGTTGAGAAGGTGGGGGTTTAGAAGGTGGGTGATGAGAAGGCGGGTAATAAATGAAGTGGAATGAGAAGAAGGTATAGGTTGAGAGAAGTGGGATGAGGAGGTGGGGATTGTGAGATATGGGAAGAAAGTTGTGATGGCAGACATGGAATGAGAAGGTGGGTTGAGGAGAAGGTGGGGGTTGAGAAAGTGGGGGTTTAGGAGAAGATGGGTGATGAAAAGGTGGGGGTTGTGAAGGTGGGTGATGAGGAGGAGGTAGGTAATAAAACAAGTGGGATGAGGAGGTGGGGGTTGAGACGGTGACGAGATGAGAAGAAGGTGGGTGATGAGAGACATGGGATGAGAAGGTGTTATGAGAGACATGGGATGAGAAGGTGTTATGAGAGACATGGGACGAGAAGGTGTTATGAGAGACATGGGACGAGGAGAAGGTGGGTGATGAGAGACATGGGATGCGGAGAAGATGGGTTATGAGACATGGGACGAGGAAAAGGTGGGTTATGAGAGACATGGGATAAAGAGAAGGTGGGTGATGAGAAAAGTAGGATGAGGAGAAGGTGGGTGATGAGAGAAGTGTTTGAGGCTTGATATGGGATAGTGGGAAGACTCAATTGGTAGAAGTGAGGGTCGATATGGGATAGTGGGAAGCCTCCATGGCTGGAGGTGGTGGATTGACTTGGAAGGAAGAGTTGTTGTAAGTGGACTCAATATCAAGATGGAGGTATATGGATTATATAGTCATGGTACAGTAACAGGCTGTGTATCCAAATACAAGAGCACATACCGCAAATGATCTGTTTCCATGTCACATACATCATAACATGATCATAACATGGTCTTTCTAAGTTTAGAGAATATAGACAACGTACCTCAAAAGCTCTCTTACACCGTGTGTGGAACTCCCATGTAAAGCCTACACTGCTGGTCCGACTGGAGCTGGAGTATTCGTTGAGGAGAGCTGTGAGCATGGAGCACGCCACCAGTTGCTGGGCAACAGGAATCGTGTTTAATTACAACCATGACTACTATCAGATTTTGTAGCTAGTCCTGCTCGAACAAGACAAAAATATTTATTACTTTCTGTCAGTTTTATTCAGTTAAAATTTGTAGCATACTCGAAGAATGAGAATCTGTTCGAAATCATTGTCCTTGAATGATAATTGTCAATGATGAGTAGCTCAGTACTATTTTTGGATTTTCGTAAACAGGTAGTTGTGACAGGCCAGCTGAAAACACTCAACGTTTTTATCCTACCACACAATGTTCATACATATCATCATCACTGTCACATTAATACAGTTGGTTAGTTTTGATTAAACTCAACAATATATCAGAAACGTATGGCCCATAACGTGTAAAATGCATATGACCCAAATACAATGTGGTGCCTACTACGTCCTCTTATCATGACAAGGCCTTGTGTAAGAATGTCTCGGATCAATTGGTTACCATGGTAACATTTCCACTGCTTATAAGCTGGGTAACATCGGCAAAGAGGCTGTCACAGCCGGTGCCCTTGGTGTCGAGAGTGCCGCGTTTGAGGATGACTGCCACTGTCTGAAGGATCTGCTCTCTCACATAACTCTGGAGGCTAGAGGAAACATAAACACCCCTTAACACTCAAATAGCAAAGCAATCCAATAGCACTGCACTCCAATACCATAACATGTGTTCCATCACTTCACATTCACATGCTCAGTATAGTTACAATGTATTTGCATATATTGTCTAGCATTGCGGAATGTTGTTTAGGCCAAATAAAAATGAAATTTTTAGAGTAAAATTAATATTTTTATACTTATCCTGACTCATGCTTATTTGCTTGTCTTCTTCTTCTGGCGAACCTAGTGGAACACTTGTATCTCCCAATTGAAGTTCCCTTCAATAAAAAATCACTCATTAGTACTCACCACGAGTTACCTCCCTTCTGCAAGCTCGGGAACGAGGGCGCCACCCAAGCCCATGTGCCTCACTCTCTCCTTTTTTGTTTTGAGCCCAACACTTTATTTTTCCCGAGAAATCCAAAGTGTTAAGTGGGGAGGACGGGAGGGCTTACCTCATGAGTCAGGATAAGTATAAAAATTTATTAAAATCTAAATATTTTAGATATTTAAATACTTACCTTACCATAGGTCTTATGCATATTACCTCAAGCTCCGCTTAAAGAGATCAGACAGTCGTTGATTCGCCATTCTGTAGAACAGCCACCTCGTGTATCGACGAGTGTACAGGCAACGGAAGTGACGTGATCTCCCCCACCGTGCAAGCGCGGTCCATCCAAAATCACTTTTACTGACCAGGTCCGAAGAGCCCAGAGAGGGGAGGAGCATCCAGCGTTGGGAGGGAGTTACCGCCCTATGGTAAGGTAAGTATTTAAATATCTAAAATATTTAGATTTTAATAAATTTTAACTTACCTTACCATAGGTCTTATGCATATGGATTTGACAGTAGGGCGGCGTGTCGGGCTCCAGAGGACCGATCCCACGAAAAACCCACATGCCAAGGGAAAACCAGAAGAAACTACTGAATCGCCAGACTGTGCAGGAGGAGGCCTGGAACAGGAGACAGATAGTAACTAAAGGCAACCCTAAGGAAAACAAATACACCCAGAGTGTAAGTTAACCTGAAGACCAGAAGGTAAGAAGAAGTAGTTACCTAATGGGCGGTAGGAGGGGTGAGTTGCTGAGCAACCACCAGTGGACCAAACGATTGAAGACCTTCCACGTCCTCGACGGCCAAATCCATTGAGGTAATGACTAGCGAAGACAGTAGAGGACTTCCAAAACAACCCTCCATGATGGCTGGAACGGTGCAGTTTCTGTGGAGAGCCATGGTGGATGCCACAGCCCTAATCTCATGCGCGGATTAGTGGCTGTAGGATGAGCAGATCTTATGGCATCGTGGCCCGGTCAGGATGGTAGTATCGAGCCAGAGCGCCAAGCGTATTCTTATTAACTTCACCTTTGGCCACAGAAGACAGGGGATGAACAGTCTCTTCTGAGACTGCCCCTTCAAGATGACTTGGCAATATAAATCTTAAGTGCCCTCACGGACAAAGCAGCTGTTCCTCAGCGTCGTGAGGTCCTAGAATGGAAGACAAAGGAGGGATGGAGAAGATCCTATCCGGTTGTCCCGCAGCTGGTTCTTGGCCACGAAATCCCAAAGCAGTCCGAGATGAACAAGACCATGCCGTGACTGCTCAAAAACGCACCCTGGTGACATCCAATGCGTGGATCTCACTAACCCTAGCTGCTGTGGCCAGGGCCAAGAGAAAGGCTGTCTTCCTGGAGAGGTTCTCAAAGAAGCCGTGTCCAAGGGCTCATAAGGGGACCTCTCAGATGGCGAAGAACGACGTTTAGGTCCCAAGCCAGAGGACCGGAGCTTTGCCTTCTGGTCCTCCAGCTTAAACGCTTTGAGGGCGGCGATGAGTTCTGGCACCTTGGAAATCTTTTTGTCGCACTTGACCGCCAGAACGGAGTTAAGAGCCAATAAATAAGTTCCTATAGTGTTGCCCTTGAGGCGGGACTTCGAAGAAAGAGAAGGAACTCTGCTATAAACTGAGGAGAAGCCTTCAACGGGTCCTTGGACTTCTGTGCACAAAACTTCTCAAAAGAAACCCACTTATCATCATAGAGTGATCTTGTGGAGACTTCGATGAGCACGAGCAATAACCTTGGCGACACCCGTGGAGAAGCCCTTGGCCTTCAGCTTTTGCAGATGATCCAACCGCGACAGATGAAACCGAGTCGGATCGATGCCACTGTCGACTGTGGGATGCCTGAGCAGGTGAGAGGCCAGTCTGGTAACTGTTGCGCGGACTTCTTTCGGCAAGACGGGCGCAGATCTGGGAACCAGGTTCTGGCTGGCCACCAAAGCGACCAAAAAGCAGACCCAATTGTCTCTGTCCGCTTGACCTTTGCTATTACCGCTGGCAACAGAACTGGTGGTGGAAAGGCGTACATCCAGACCCTCCCACGACAAGGACATGGCGTCGACCGCCCATGCGCTGGATCTGGAATCGGAGAACGCATACAACGGCAGCTGTGTGTTGAAGCGAAGTCGCATAAACAGGGCGATCAGAGGGCGGCCGTGACTGTGACAAAAGAAGTTTGAACGCTTCTGGATGTAGCATCCACTCTGTTGGAGACGGTTTGCCCGGCCTTGAGAGAGCGTCTGCCAAAATGTTCTTGCACACCTGGGATGTGTCGGGCTCTGGCGCTGATGCCATTGTCGTCCAGGAGACTGGCCAGCTGGAACGTCTGCTCCAACAACTGTTTGGACCTGGTGGTTCTCCTGATTGTGAATCAACCACACCACCGTGGAATTGTCCGGCGCTATCAGGAGCCTGGTGTTCCGCAACAGAGGCACCCAGTGTCGAACCGCTAAAATGACTGCTTGCAGCTCCAAGTTGTTGATGTGCCATCCTAGCTCGGGTGCCTGACCACAGCCCGAGGTGGTCTGGTCGTTGAGGTGAGCACCCCAACCTTGAAGAGGCGATCTCTGAACAGTTCGCGTGATCGTGAACAAACTCTGTCAAGGAGACTCCTGCGCAGACGTTCGACTCGACAGTCCACCAACGGAGGTAAGCGTGGAGATGCGGACACCGCAGCTTCTCCTACACAGCACCGGCCCTCTGGAATGTTCTTCCATATGACATCAAAGACTCTGACAGTTTTGATAGTTTTAAAGCAAAACTGAAAACCCACCTTTTCTCAGTATACTTCTCATAACTTCACCCATCTTCATCTTTGTAGCGCTTTGAGCATACCCAAGGGCGTGGAAAAGGCGCATTATAAATGTGCATTATTATTATTATTATTATTATTATTAGATGCAGGGGCAAAAGGAACCTCAACTGAAGGTCGTCCGCCTGGATGTAAGGCAACAGGAAGCGCTGTAACGACCGAAGCATCAAGCGACCTCTGAGCGTCAAGTCCTGGGCTGAGGTGAGGAGACCTAAGAGGGACTGCCACTCCCTGAGCACGAGCGGCTGGGATAGACCTCGGTTGGCGAAACTGACAATCTTTCTCCAGCAATCTAGCGGAATCCTGACAAGGTCGCAATGTGTCAGGAAGAAGCCTCCGATAAACGTTAGTTCCTGGGACGGCTCCAGGTGGGATTTGTCTAAGTTGATAATCCATCCCAGTTGCTGCAAGAGATGAATGGCAAAGTGCATCTGTTTGGCGAAGCAACTGAGGGTCGAAGAGGTGGTCGCATGAGACAGTCGTCTATATAAAGGTCGAAGTCGATGCCCCTGAGATGGAGGAACGGGTGATCGGCGAGGTAATCGGTAAAAGCCACGGGCGTGGAAATTCCAAATGGAAGCACTTTCCACTGGTAGTGGGACCCGTTGAAAAAAGACCTCAGGTACTTTCTGTGGCGGTGGTAAATGGGCACATGCAGGTAGGCATCCTGAAGGTCGAAGCTGGCCAACCAGACCCTGAAGCAAAGCTTGGCTCGTAGCTGTTCCAGGGACACCATCTTGGAAGTCAGGCGGTTCGAAGATAAAGGTGGTTGAAAACTGCCATGTTGTGAATCATCGTAGTTTCCCTGAGTCCTTCTTGGGAACCAGGAAGATTGGTGAAGTAGAACCCGGGGGACTGTCGGGGGTCTAGCACTGTCTCTATAGCTTGTTTGCGTAACAGAGTGGATGCTGTCTGCTAGCAGTAACTGTTGGTCTGGAGCATACACACGTGACTGGGGCGTTGAAGTCAGAAGCGGCGACGGCGATTGGCAGCTTGTAACGGTCCTGAGAATGTTGGTGATAAACGGGTCTTCAGGATTGTCCAATTGGGCCAGAAGATCCCCAGTCTCCCGCCCTACTGGAGTAGGACGAACCGTACGACTGGGGCGGGGAGGTCCCAGTCGTGTTGGGTCGCAACTTCAGCGACCCGAAGTAAGCGCCTCCCCTACCCTGCGAGCGTCGAAGGGTCCCGGGGACAATCCTGCTGGCGGGCTGAAAAACAGGTTCGGATCTGCTTACGCCCCGTCCTCTGCCAGAGGCGTCAGCGGACGGAGTCTCTTCGGGGCGTAACGGTGCTTCCCTCTACCCCTTGCAGATGATCTGCCACGAAGGCGAACTCAATGCTTGAGCGTAGACAAAAAGAAACCTCCGTGTTGGTAAGCTCTGCGTGTTCCTATACACCTCTGGAATGCCGTCATTAAAGAGGAAGCGAAAGCGCCAAAAGGGGCTCTTAACAGTTTCCTTTTAAACTCTTCCTGCCAAGAACAGGGCTCCAGGAAACCCATCCGCCCGAACAACCGTTGTCATGGCCAGAGCCCGGAGGTGCGCCAGCAAATCATCCAACACCTTGCCCTGCCATTGAAACAGGGTGGTAAGATGTTCTAACCTTGGCGTGTTGTCTTCCGTCAAATCCCAAGCAGCAGCGAAGTTGCGAGGCCAGCGCTGATACCGGCTTCAACATCCGCTTGAGTTCTGCATCAATGGCCAACATCTTGGAGTCCTGCACTCGGTAAGATGTCTGTGGGGAAGCCGATAAGCGCTTGAGGGACTCATCATGAGCTGCGCCTCCATCGGCAAAATCCAAACTATGAATCTTGTAGTCCCCTTTGCGTGGCTTAGGAGCCT